TGAAAAAAGGGGGTATATATGGTTCATCATTATATCTTCAATTTATATATATATATTTCTACAGTCCTAGCAGTATATGTCCATAGTTTGTTCAAAATACCAATTTACTGTATTCAATAGCAAGTGCAGAGTATATAAGAAAATCAATCCAATACAAAAAGAAGTCGGTGGACCAGTGGTTGAAACCTTCGATTTCCGACAGCCATGAACCAGGATCGAATCCCGTATTGTACACTTTTTTCTGTAAAGAACCTGTTCCTATTTCTCATTGTAAATAACATAAGCTAGGTTGTTCTTTTTGAACGGTACCTAATAATGTTCTTTTGGAATAGGAACAGTCCAATACAAGAGACGTCGGTGGACGAGAGATTAAAACCCTCGATTCCCGACAGCCATAAACCGGGATTGAATCCCACATTGGAAACTTTGTTTTAATATGTGAATGACAATCACTCATCATTCATTGTTGTAAATAACATAAGCTAGGTTGCTCTTTTCGAGCGGAACATAGTAAAGTGATTTTGGAACCAGGAATCAATCCAATACAATAGTGAAGCTGTCTGGAGATTAATATGGCGAAACCACTGAGAGGGTTTAACCACTGATGATCCCTTTTACAATTTGTATTCATCTCAGGATAAGGGCTCTGAATAAATGAATTTCGTTTATATATATTTTAAAAGAAAAGTATCCTGAAAAATAGTTCTATAAATTTCAATCTTAAATGATATGGCATAATTTGGATTATATATTATAAACACAAGGTATATAATAAGACCAAATCAAATAAATAAATAGTGTTAAAACGAAAATCACGAAATTTCTCTTTAATGGCTTATAAAATGCTAAAAATGAAGAGAAAAAGTTTTCTTTATTAAAATATATAGGTTACAAGCTTTCGGGCACCAAGCCCTTCTACAGGTACCATACCTGTAGTACCTGTAGAAGGGCTTGGTGCCCGAAAGCTTGTAACCTATATATTTTAATAAAGAAAACTTTTTCTCTTCATTTTTAGCATTTTATAAATAAATAGTGTGTAAACATAAAAAAAATTTTTTTTTTTTTTTGGATTTGGTCTTATTACCTTGTGTTTTCAATCTTCAAATGTTATAATTATTTTTAATTAGAAAAATAAAAAAAGAGGGCTCGTCCGGGATTTGAACCCGGGACCTCTCGCACCCTAAGCGAGAATCATACCCCTAGACCAACGAGCCACGTTTGAAATAGTTTTACTTCATATAAAATATATAGAAAGACGGGGGAAGAGGATATAAGCCATTGCCTTCCACTTGAGGAAGAGGAAAGAAACAACCACCCTGGGGACAAACAGTCTGGGATTTCATCACAGCTTCCTTCATCTAGCTGGTTCAGCCGGTATCAACAGAAATCACATTCAGTAAGACTTCCTAGAACTCTGTTTTCATAAATAAATCTTTAGAACAACAGAAAAAAAGCCTACTATTTGAAGATATTTCTTGGAATTCACTCTGGGGTAAATCCAAGTATAAGAAATTTCTTTTCCTCCAATTTACCCAGATTAATCTATTTATTAGCTTGATTGTCCTAATTAAGTTTCCTGTATATAAATATCATATTACCATTATATGTGATTAGCTTTAAGAATTATAATAATAACAATGCTTATTACACACACACTACACAAACTGGTATTATTACGGTTTTTCCTGCATCTAGCCTACATTTCTACTCGGAGAATCTGTATAAGACTAAAAGGTCTTAATAAAGCTTTTGTTGTTGTTGATATTTCTTGGAATTCATTCTAATACATCATTTTACTTTAATGTGTCAAACATCTTTCTTTCCCTTAATCCAAAACACAATGCTGCTTAATAACAGATTCCTTGTATATACCCTCATGGACAAAACTTAAGGAAGTTGTACCTTTTAGCATGTATATCGGGATTTAGACAATAACTCTAAAATATATTTGATGCACAGTGGCCTTTATATTGAAGACACAGGAGATAGCCAAGTGTGAACAAAATTTCCTTTGTCTCCTTCAAAAAAAAAAATAAAAAAAACAGACGACCAGCGAGTTTTGTCCATGAATGTACATATATTGAATAGAGTTAATATACAATATTCCAGAAATTTTCAACTTCTTGCTACTACCCCGTTGAATAATTTTTGCATACAACGAAAAGTCTTAAATTTGCATATATTATATGTAAGTATTCGTATGTTTTTATACTTTTATTTGTTTTATTATAATTATTTTATATTTTTGTTACCCCTGGCTTCATTGTTAGACTGGAAACGGGTAGAATATCACTTACACTAAACGCCACTAAATTAACCATGAAATACCTTTTAATATTACAAAGAAGATATGCTGGAATAGGTTAAGAGAAATATCCATAAATACAGGAAAACCTATTGGACTCTACAGGACTATTTTAGCAATTTACCACCAATGCGGCCTTGCCTAGACAAACAATGCTATCGACTATGAGACTAAATTTTTTGTTTTCCTTAGACTTATCTTACAAATCCATGTATGAGGCGAATTGTCTTAATTAGACTTTTTTTCAAATGCAGCGTCAAAATTTGTCATCATTTTTCAACAGGTAATTAATCAACTTAAATTTTTTAATAAAAGAGCAATGTAATCTATTTATTGCTGAATTATCAGTTTAAAAATATAGAATAGCATGTGCTTTAGCGACATTGAGTGAATTAAACTTGTGATTACCTTAGCTATTTTTTAAATTGGAAACTTTTCTATAGTTCTTATTACAGGTTTACCACTGATCCCTTCCAGCTACATTTTTATTGATATAAAATCTTTATAAATAACATTTAATTATGATGCTCTAGCGCGCCATCTGTCATGAAAATTCGAAACTATTTTAGAAAAACGTATGATTCTTTTTGAAATTAAACAATTTCTACTGCCCTTACTGCAATGGAAAAATTAATGGGAGGGCCTGGCTCATCAGTGGTGAACCCTCCCAGCGGTTTCGCCAGTTTAATCTACCATACCGCTGTTATATTGCATTTTTTTATCTTCCTTTTATAGTGATACTGATGCTAGACTCTTGGAATGGGTATTTTAGATGAACTATGGATTATTAGAATAACTACAGCAATTTATTTCTGCCGCGTTTACCATTCGCTTTATGCAAATTCTACACACCAGGTGGTCACCCTCCCAAGTACTGACCAGGCCCAACATTGCTTAACTTCATTTATCGGACGAGAAGCGGTGTTTTCAATGTGTGGTATGACCATATAGGCAATAACTTTTTAAATAAAAAATATTCTTTATTATAATCACAATTTTTATATTCAATAATAGATTGGACAAGATTTGCTTCATAGCATTCAGCAATATGATCAAACACTGAATCAAAGATATGTTTGACAATTGACAATTTAAAACATCTTTGTTGATTCCTAGTTAATAGTTAAAACACATCAATATTTACATCTTAATTCATTGATGAAGGCTTCCCCACCTTGAGAGAGTTCTCCTCCAGACAAGGTCTTCTTGAACTTTCCACTGTTCAACGCCGAGGAAGTATTTATAAACGTGCGTATTGTATTTAGCTATGATTCTGATTTTATATAGAACACTGAAAAGGGTTCACCACTGATGAATCAGACCCCTCCACTATTTTTCATAACAGTTAATAATAGTAGAAGATGTGTTTTATTCTAAAATAAAAATTTATGTTTTAATATTTTCATTTCTTGGATATAGATGATGTGATATTGCCTTGTGCTAAACTTATGTTTGCGTCCCTCTTCTTCTTCTTTCTTATCTCCACTCAATCATTAGGGTATCAAGTTGTGACCCTTGATGGTATTTAACAACCATCATGACTGGGTGAAGTAGAATGCGTCTGCCTTTGTCATTAAGACTGGGAGCACTACTCAGTGGCAGACCGACTTAGCTCCAAAAGAAATGGCCGCCTCTGACATGAGGAACAGACGCCATGTGCAGCCGCTCCTAACATGGAGTACAAACACTGCTCATCCTGTATTCCTAGATTAGGAGCCCTTACAGGGTACTACCAGCCGGGCCAGCTGAGCCCAGGTTTTTTAGTGAGCGTGTTACTGCTCCCCCTCCTCCTTTTTCATCCGGGCTTGGGACCGGCAAAGGCGGAGTTTAATTCTATTCCCTATTCTATTTGGTATCTTCATCGAAGTATCACCCAGAAAAAAAAATATGGAAAGACAAATATCTATATAACACATAGTTGCATAATCAGGAGATGCCTTTTCTTAATTTATTCACCTGATCTCAGTACCAGGAACAGGCAACTTTGAGGGTAACATGTACACATTGAACCTATCACGTTTATCTGAAGCAACTTGTGTTCCAAATGAACATTGCTTGATTTCAAAGGACAATTCTAGGACTGCATGGCACAGAAGGTTAGGACATCCTAGTGACAACAAATTAGACCTGATTTTGAAGAACAATCTTCTAAAAGGCTTGGACTCTATAAATGGTACCCTTGATCAATGTGATGCTTGCTCCTTGGGAAAAATGACCAAAGTACCCTATGTTCACACAGACAACAATCAGGAAAGCTACCCCTTTGAAGCCATTTATGTCAATCTCTGTGGTCCAATGAGAATAAACTCCTTAGGCGGAAGTAAATATTTTTTAACCATCGTAGATGGATTTTCTAGGAGAATATTTGTAGAATTTCTCAAAGATAAACTCTCAGCAGCAGAAGTTTTGAAGAAGTTTATTGTAAAGAGAGAAAATGAGCTAAACTCAAAACTAAAACGACTTAGAACAGATAACGGAACATAATTTATCAATAAAAACCTTGAAACCTTCATAGAATCCAAAGGAATTAAACATGAACTAACTACACCATACACCCCAAGAAGCAATGGGAGAGTTGAAAGAGCTAACAGAACACTATTAGACAAAGGCCGAACACTTCTGGCAGACTCCCAATTACCCCTACACTTCTGGGCAGAAGCTGTGAATACAGCTGCATATCTGTACAATCTAACTCCCACAACCAATGACCCAGACACTACCCCTATGGAAAAATGGAAAGGTAAAAAGCCATCCATCTCTCACATCATGAGATTTGGTTGTGAAGTCTTCTATAAACTCGAGAATCATCAAAGACACAAACTAGAAGCTAAATCTAAGAGAGGAATATTTGTGGGCTATTCAAGATGCAGAAGAGCTTATCGAGTATTTGATATCACAGCGAGAGTCATTCTTGAAACCGCACACATTCACTTCAGAGAGAACAATAATGTCATCTCGGAAGAAAAACAAAGTGATAATAATACGAACACTGACTCATATTTCTTCATTCAGGAGGATGAACAACTGGACAATCATGTTCTATCAGATGTTGATATTGAAGAGCCAGCACCAAATACCATGATCAACAGACAGACAGAGTCAAGTTGATCAGACAGACCACAAAGAACTCGAACAATACCTAAAAGATCCGATGTTCTGGCTACTTACTACGAATGAAACCATTCCGAAAGACTATGAAGAAGCCATCGCATGCGAAGACAAGAAACATTGGGAGAACGCAATGCTTGAGGAAATACAGAACATGTACTCGCATCAAGTATGGGAACTGGTACCTAGACCTGTAAACGCTAAAGTTGTCAAAAGTAAATGGGTGTTCAAAATATCTAAAGACCAAGAAAACAAAACTTACAAAGCTAGACTTGTTGCAATGGGATACAACCAAATCCCAGGAAGAGATTACAACGAAAGTTTCAGCCCTGTAATTAAAAATGCCACCCTCAGGACTATTTTGTCAATGGCAGCAACAAAAGATTCAGTCATTAAACTATTTGATGTGAAAGCAGCCTATCTAAATGGAAACATTGAAAATACAATATATTCATGGATCAACCTGCTGGATTTGTCCAAGACAGAAACAAAGTTTGCAAACTCAACAAAAGTATTTACGGTCTACCTCAATCCGGAAGATCGTGGTATGAGAAATTCAGTCAAGTACTTCATGACTGTGGACTGGAAAAACTTAAATCTGATCCTTGCTTATTTAAATGGAAGAATGAAGACAAAAACTTCTATGTAGGGATATATGTTGATGACTTTATCACTGTCTCAGATTCTGAAGATACCTCAAACAGATCCATCAATAAATTGAGACATCACCTGGAAATAAAGGATGTAACATGTAAAGGCATGTTTTTGGGAATCAAGATCATACAAGACAAGGAGGGAATTTCGCTACAGCAAAGCCACTATGTACAACAAATATTGCAGAAATATGGAATGGAAACTTGTAAGGAAGTTCCAACACCAGGTTCCAAAGAAATCAATTTGGACAATCATATTGAAGATGACAATTGCGATCAGCACACTTACCAAGAAGCCCTTGGAATGCTTATGTTTCTAGCTGTTAACACCAGACCCGACATCGCTTACATCACTAGCAAACTTTCACAGTACTCCAGACAACCAAAAAAGATGCACTGGACAGCAATCAAAAGAGTGATGAGATACCTACGAGGAACAATTGACCTAGGAATGAAATTTGAAAGAGGGAAGACTGGAATCCTGAAGTCCTACACCGATGCCAGCTACTCGACCACTCGTGATGGAAAATCCTACGCGGATATGTATTGAAGCTCGGCGAAGCAACTATAGACTGGAAAAGTAGTAAACAACCACTCGTCGCCCTCTCCACAATGGAAGCGGAAATGATAGCTGCTTGAGAAAGCTGCTGTCAGATCAAGTGGATAATAAACCTGTTACGAGAGCTGGAAGAATGGAATTTCATGGAAAAACCAACAGCGATCTATACAGACAGTCAGTCATTGATCAACTGGATCTCCAGCCCTAAACAAAGCAGTCGCTGTAGACATATCAACAGAAAGTACCACTTCTTGAGAGACTGTTATGAATCCAGAGACATCTGCCTTCTGTACAAGCCATCTCAGGACCTGGAGGCGGATATCTTCACAAAGGACCTATCCCGAGACCAGATGAAGAAACACCTGGAGAACCTCAGCATCTTGGGAATAAAGACAAAGTAAGGAGGGAATTGTTACGCAAAATTTGACTTTAATCATCATCGATGCTGACGTCACTACTATTACGTCACACTTACTTCTATGCTTCATGACTTTTCTGTTTGATTCTTTGCTCGCTTGTTTACAACAATTGTATTGGAACAAGTCGTTCTTTAAATAAATATATATTTGTTTATATCAAAAGGGATGTCCTCTTAATTACAAAATACGTGAGTACAAAACAACTCGAAATCCTTAAAAAAGAAACATTGAATTTTTGCTAAGCCTATATCAATTTGCCATTAAAGATAGGACAAAAAAGCTGAAGCAATTCAAACATAAATTTTAATTTATGCACTTTCTCTCCTAAATATGCGTTAATGTGTTATTGATTCACACACACACACAAAAGCCTTTATTAAGACACACAGGTCTTACAGAGGATTCTCCTTGGGGTTACAAGACGGGAAACCTATGAAAGTGGGAAATAAAAAAATGGAGAAAGATTATATACATATGGTAAATATATAGATTATAAGAAAGAATAAAAAATAAGAAAAAAAAAATTGGAAATATGGATGGGAGAAGTGGAGAGCGAAAATGTGTTATTGATTCATATATTTTATATTTTATTATTGGTTAACTTAATTCAATCTTTCGAGAACAAAACCATGAATAACGTATTTAATATCAGTGAAGAAAGAATATATATTTCAAAAGTTTCTGAAATATATTAGTATATTCATAGATTTATAGTTTGGCCTGTCTCTTTGATTAGAATGAATTAAGAAAACAATTTAGGAAAAGAGAGAGAATATTTATTATTATAAATTATATAAAAAGCAGAATCTCTCATATAAATATAACTTTTTATTTTATTTACTTCTACCCCTCCTGGGAAACTTTTATCCTGAAAGCAAATTTTAATAGAAATGTTCAAATATCAGATATAATATCGTTTGAAAGCTTAATTTGATTTCGTTGTTTTTCTCAATTTGGCTCAGATTATAAAATCCTTTTTTAAAGAGAATAACCACTTTTAAAATTTTTTGAAATGGATTTTTATTACTCTTAAATAGTGATCAAATAATTGCCTAAAATCTATTAAAATAGATTCAAAACAAATAATTCTATAAGGTTAAATATAACATTATAAAAATTTAACTAAGAATCAAATATTTTTATAATTCTGTTTGCTGTAATAAAAAAAAATATAGAAAATAAATGAAAAATTTGAAAAATGAAAATAA